TCGTCGCCAGAGAATACGGGCTGGACAGTAATGATCACAAGTCGCAGGGGTGGGGTGATAGGGAGACAAGTGTGCTCTAGTCATTAGCCGCGAACTTGAAGAAGGCATTAGGATAAGGCACTGTTCCAGGTCCAGCGAGAGGCGCCTATCACAAAGTGGAGTTGATGCTCCATGGACGGCCTGCTGTACATCCAACTCATGATACGACAGCAGTAGTAAGTACCCAACTTCCGAAGCAGTTTGAATGGTCGGCTTGTTATGATGTCATATCACGTGATATGGTATACTATGAATACTCATTCAAAAGCTGGAAGTATGATAGTACTAGCGGTCGTCAGTCAACGACATTGATACCTTGCTAAGCGGTTTCTATTTCTAATAACTACTTCCAAATAACATTTCATAGTGTTCAAGGTTGCAATTTTTTCTTGATTATTTCAAGCTGAGGTACAAAGTTCAAAAATAGGCAGGTGGAACTCCATTCAGATTTGACCCTTTCAGCATATTATGTACTGATTCAAGATATAATTGGATAACGAGGCAGTACTTTTGCTGTTGTGGAGGGCCATGAGGGAGTCGAGAGAGCTACTTTGGACACGGAGATTGCCGCGTGGTCTAATTTCCAAAGACGTAAGGTTACTAAGCTATGACGCGGATATTTTGTAACGTCACTTTACTAAGTTCGCAAATTTAGACACAAGCAAGGTGATCGAGAACAAAACAACACGATCCCTCTCAGTATGTAGTATTCTACGATAGAAACCCAGTCTGATGTCAGGAAGTATTTAGAGGCACGGTTTACACCAAGACTGATAACGCACCTCCAATGATACTGACTTTGGTTGTGATTCAGTTACTGTAATATCATCGCGCATTGAACCAAAACAGTAGTCATAACTAGTTGTACATGGGGGGTGTATATACGTAGTAGATATAGTAGTTATCTAGAATGTTCATTAACGCTCACTGGCAAGCAGTGGGAACGGTATAGCCCTATAGGTTAATCGACCATCCATCAGTAATATTCTTTGTAAAAATGCAAAAAACGACTTACATTCGTTCTAATTCCTCCACCCCAAGGAGTCTTACCATCGACCCTTGAATCCACGCCAAGCCCGCGCTCCGCGAAGGCTTTCCACAGCGTACAAAAGTTCTCTCCCCCAGTAAGCTGTTCATCGGCTTGAATGATCGCATCACGAGCTTCGAAGAAGCCTGGTCGGCAGGGTTGGAGTTTCATTCCGTTGATGACGAGCCTAATTGCAAAAGTAGATGAGTAACAAAGAAGAGTAGAAGGGAAGGAAGAAACATACTGGACGATCAACGAGTTGCCATGTTTGGGTACCAAGGCCTTCTTGCCAGCACGGGGTCGGTAGAACTTGCCCTCGGGGACGGTGCCGTCAGCCAGGGGAGCAGGAGGGAACAAGTCATCGCTGAACCCATGTACAGCAATGAGACGCTGTTCGACGACCCAAAGTATCTGAGCCCAGACTTCACCAATGGCGTGGACGCCCCAGTAGCCGGGCTTGTCCAATGTCTGGTAGGTCGAAGGGTTGACGGTATCATTCTACGAAAGTATGTCAGAATGGGAAGAAAACGCCGCACGCCTGACTTACAAGAGAGTAAGGGTAGTTCCTGATACCCTGTTCGCGATTAGCGGCCCATGCACCCATAGGGAAGTCAGAGTATTCGCTCGTGCTTCGGATGGTGGTAGCCAAGAAGTCTGTACGACATGATCAGCAACGGCGCAACGACGAGGACAACAACATCGCTTACCTCCCCAGCCCTCACCCATACCACCACTCTCGCCCCAGCCCAAACATGAGGAGCTTGCGGGTCCACCAGTCAACCGAGTGCTCAAACCATGACTCAACTCATGAATAACGATGCCTGCTTCCATATCGCCATCTCTGTAGGGTAGAGCAGTGTTCCACAAGTACATCCTCATGCGTCCGTTACGACCATCAGGCGGGGTCATGAAATTGGCGTTGTTATATCCGGAACCGTCCTGAGCGTTAGCAATAACAGCGTCATTCTCCTCGCCTCCACGACCAAAGTTGTGTTGTTGGAAGTTGCCAGAGACCTCATCAAATCCGTACCTAAAGACGCGGGTCAATGGGATGAAGCTAAAGGAGGGAGCGTGTTTACCTGTAGTAGAAGTCGTGTATGATGTTGGTAGTATAGAATAGTTGAGTGACAGTGGCATTGATGTAACTATACGCCTCGTCTTGCGCGTCAACTTTGTCGGTGACCTTGGGCGCATATTTGTAGTCAAAGGCCTTGTCGACACCTGCGTCGGGACGGTAGTTGTCGATGAATGAGTTTTGACCTTCCCAGTTCTCCTGCGCAAAGACCTACAGACCCTCGGTTACAGCAGTTCTTCTAGATGAGACATCAACTTACGTTGTTACCCCAAGTCGTTGTAGTGTTCCTCCAAAACTGCTTGCTGTTGAGTTTGACGCCCTTCAGAGACGGGTCGTTGGCATAGGGAATTGCGTGCCAGCCCACAGGGGATGCCAATATGTCGAAGTTCTCCTTCACGACGGTACGTTTGCCTTCCTCAGGATCATTCGTACCCCAACCAAAGATGTTGTAAGTAGCCGGTTCGACGGAGGGTTCCGGAGTAGGAATAGGGGCATCCGACGCCCAGTCGACGACGGAGACGATACGGTGAGGGGACGTTGCGGAAACGGCGGCATCATACCAGTTGTCTTGCATCTCGACTTCGAACTAAGGGCTGTCTAAGTCGCGATGACGGCAGAGAAGGATCGTCACTTACCCTCCAAACTAGGTTGATATCGGTACTGTCACCCTTCTTGTTGGGCACTTGAATGTAGGTCAAGCTCGACCTCACGGAGTTGACGGCGTCCGGAACATTGTCGATAGACATGACGACAGGTTCGTCGGGATTAACAAAGTGATCTTCCCGAGAGACAGACATCTTCGCGAGGTACTCGTCATAGTTGGCAAGGATGTCATTGACCATCTTGTCATCAGGGGTTGCCGCCAGCATAAACTGGAGAAGAGCAGGCCGAACGTCAGCAAAATCGACCTCGGCCGAAGAGGCCATGTCATAAGGAAGATGCGTAGCACGGCAGTTGGAGGTGTGTATGTGCGCTAGGGGTCCAAAGAATGAGCGGAATTTAGGGTGAGATTCCCAAGAACCAAATTCCTCCATGACGGTCTGTCCGTACTGTCCCAGGAAGGAATCAAGACGACTCTTCATCTCAACCTCGAGTTCCTCGCAGTATTCTCGGTGAGGGTGACGAATGTCATCGAGGTCGGGGTTGGAGAAAGCCTGAGGAGTCGGTCCTTTGTAAAACTAAAGACGAGTTAGGCGAGGCTCAACGCCAAGGAAGCGCAAAACTTACCGAGTTACCATATGATATCACCAAACCATCCTTGATGTTGATGTTCATATCACCATCAACAACCTCTAGGCCATTAACAACCTGGCGAACGTAGACATGGGTAATTCCGGTATTCTTGTCGGTATAGGAATCCTTCCGAATTCTATAAGAGCTGGTATCTGAGAGCTGGTCGACCAAGATATCCTCTATGAAGAGCTTCGCGACCTCAAAAGGGTCCTCTATGAAAGCTGATGGAAGGAAACCGTTCGTGGTAATCTGATAAGGACTGGAGTGATACACCGCATGAGGATGTACAGGGCCGAATCCCAATGACTTCCGTAGTCGTGTAGGGCTCGAGTGACTCGAGTGGGCTACCGCTAGGGCAGCCAGCGACGCGATGACTAAACAACGCATTGAGAAAGAGGGGACAGCAAGTTTGATATCGTAGCAGGTCGCAGGAGGGTCAATATATAGGAAAACGGAAGATGGTGGTAGTTGAAGTTCAAGAGAGCTTGCGTACGCAACAACACCCAAAGGGGTGAGATAAGGACTGTTGCCGGCTGGTCGCGTGCTGATAATTAGTCATATTCTGTCATTTCCTTCTTCGGCATAGTCATGACTTGGAGCCTTCCTTGAGCTCTTTTAACGTGTTCCCTGGCCTGAAGTATCCCGTTTCATTACATTAATGCTTATCTTTCAAATTGAAATTTACCTACTGACGAGTCGACGCTGCTGGCCGGGTTTTCCGCCTCACTTTTCCCGCCACCTCATTGAAACCTCGTTCTGATAAGGTTCCCCCAATATTTTGCTCCCTAGTCAAGAAAAACGTTGTCGAGGTCCCCGTTTACTTCGCCTTCGGAACTTGGGACGATCCTTATGGGTAGGTGGAATGACTCTGTATCAAAGGCAAGGCAAATTTGTGATGCCTTCATCTACATCTGCCGAAGGGCCCCTTCCAGTACTCAGAGCAAGGACGCAAATAGCTTCCTTATCCTTTATCGGCGCTTTCACGGAACTGCTACACAGCATGAATTCTCCGAATCTGCAACATTCCACATGACATTGACATCGGGGATAGGTGCATTGGCAGTCGGCCCCAATGATACCACGGACTTGACTGGATCACTGGCCATGCATTCCGGTTTGAATGGAGCGGTATAACAGGAGGCGTAAATAGTAGAAGCGGTTGACTCTTTTCTTGTCCCGTCAATAAATCTTTGGGAGTTCGACGCGGATACCATCAAACAAGCTCACAAATATGATCGTCTAGTCTGTTCAGCATGCATCATCCCTTATTGATATCGATACAGATATTGGCGAGTGCATTGATAAACTATTATAGAGATGTGCTTAGCGCTTTATTTCAACACTGGACCTCATAACTCTTCATACTTTTCTGTGTACTTCTATTCAACGTTCAATCGTCGTTCAACTTCAACAGCATGAAATAAAAAGGTGTAAGACTTAGACCCAAGGTAAACGTAGCCGTCTGGAAGAAGTGAGTGACTATGCAAGCCTGTTTCTGAGTCTCATATTCGCAGAATGACCAGCTCCAAGTACTCTAGATGTGTCGTTTCCTTTCACTTGACCCAGCCTACCATTCCGACCGAGTGCCGCCGTGGCGACCTCAGAATCATTCCATTAATAGGTGTTGGCTTGATGGTCTAGTAGTATGATTCCTTGTTAGGGTGTAAGCTGAAGAGTTCTGCTATTTCGAGGAGGTCCTGGGTTCAATTCCCAGTCAAGCCCGTTCAATGGGATTTAGATGGTTTTTTTAAAGTAAGTACCTGCTCGAAACCTTGGTGTATCACTGTCAGGTTCTCGTACATAATTCTACTTGGAAACTATGTTTCATGGCAATCGCTGGTCCTGGATTTCCTGAAGCTTCCGATAATCCCAGGACCGATTCATCTAATGACGAACGATCAAGTCGCTCTCAAGGTCTAGTCTACACTTTGTTGAAGTACGCTTCTCAGCTCAGATAAGCGGGACTCCGGGATTAGCAGGGAACCCTCGCAAACGCGCGAGGGGCTCGATTGTAAGGTACTCTACTTATATACTCCTGTAAACTACGGATAGGGGAAATGGTATCAAAGGGGGGATGATAACGGATGTGCGACGTATTTGGCAATTCAACACACTTTACCCCATTTTATGCTATGGGTGGTCTTAGATGAGGTCTGTTCAGACATAGGCGTGCCGTTGACCCCTTGCCAGATCCTCTACTTTAAATTTATTATTTCTACTACATACTGAAATGCTATTACATCTTTCTGACCATTGTTCTTGTTTATCGGTGATCATTTTTTCTCCCTACATAGTCCATTCAAAACATCATACAATACCGCAAAAATGGCTCACTTACACATCTGCATCCCTCAAGATCTCCTCGAACCTATTCCTCAGCCTTTGTACCTCCCTCTTATGAACATCCTCCGTGCTCGACCCAAAATCTACCAGAAACGCCTTGCATTCCCTGATGAACTGCTCGAGATCCCTTGCCACCATTAGGGATCGCTCCGGTTCGTTCGATCCTCGGGCTCTGGTGAGGAAGGCTGCTGTAAGCGTTGATATACCCCCTAGTCGGAAGAAATGATTAAGACTGAGGTTCGGGGGGAATAGGGAGATATAACTTTACCGAGGATGGGCAGGACGATCGTAATCTAACATGGAAAGAGCCTTCGGTAAGCATATCTAGGCGTAGAATACAGATCTCGCACCTCGCGTCCTGTAACAAGTGCTGAGATGGCAGTCGTTAGAGCGCCAACAAGGAGCTGTATGCCTATACAAGACATTTAGTTCCGCGGTATTTTTCCAGGAGTGCAAAGGCTTACCGATAGTGATGTTCATGGTGTACCCTTTCATCATCGCGCGCTCCGAGTATTTCTTCCTCTCCACCTCTGCCGCTATGATCGTAGGCAGTATTCGCTCCTCTACTGTTTTGACATGGATCTGATTAGAGTGAGTAGATTGGATCAGCATCTGAGGAAGAGACCTACCTTAGACTCGTAAGGAACAATCCAGTCAAGCGCTGGTGTGGGAGGCAGAGGTCGGTTGACATGGTTATGTCCGTTCGAAGAATCTATGGTGCTAGAGTGCGTATTATTCGTTTGCTGGGTAGACACGGAGATTTCAGTCGGGGTGGTACTAGCTGTTAGGTTCGGGCCCGTCGGTGCAGCCGTTTCTGATGGTTTCCTAGGGGTGGGACTATGGTCCTGGAGCGTCGGGTTCTTGAAAGTAGGTCCAACAACAGCTACGCCCGCGGTGAGGACAGGCGCGGTGGTAGAAATCGCTGAAGCAGCACAGGGCGCAGTGGTAGCGGAAATGGTGCTTACAGGGATATGAATCGGCTTCGTGGGTGCATATTTGTCAGGAGATGGAGGCGTTGGCTGCGACGAGCTCGAAGATGGTTTATTATCAGCTGCTGCTACAGGAGCCAATGGTTCGGTTTGTGTAGGAGTAGGAATACTCGGCTGCAGCTGGGATATGATCGCCTGTGCAGGAGTCAGTGTTGCTGACGGCGAAAGAGTATTTCCTGCGGTTAGGGTAGTAGCAAGTACTTCTTCCAGCGAGGGAGCAACGGTACGTGGCGCAGTAGGAGATGAAGATGTCGGGGTAAGTATGTTCTGTGAATTAGCTCGGGCGGGAGCCGTCGATGTTAGGTCCGTGGCTGCAGTCGTTGACTGGATACCAGCCTCTATCGGTAGCGCTTTCTGAGGATGTGACTCTGGCATTGTTGTACGATCTTAGGCCAGCAGGAAACACAAAGACGATGCATGTTGATATAACGAGGACGTCTGAACAACTTGATCATGTTTCAACTAAGATGGGTGTTCCGTTAAACTTCGACGCCGACAGAAAGCTGTGAGATTGACTGTTGGGTCCGTTAGCTCTGATCCTTCAACAAGGCCGACCAGGACGCCACAGCGGGACCGACATCAAGGTCATTTAGAAGTTCGGGGATTGCCTCCGCGACTACCAGAGATCAATTGTGTCGGACCATACGTGTCATAAAGTGCGGCGTGTATCTATCGACTTGTCATCGGTGAAAGAATTCACAGCAAAGACCCACCTGGCCAAAGACAGACGGCGCTCAGGATGAGTAATACTGCATCGGATCTGTAGCGGCATCTAGAAGTATGCGAGCTCCAGAAGCCTACAGTCCGTTCGGCGTTCTCTCCCAGATCCGAAGGACAATGATTGAGAGTATATGCTACAGAGGTTAACCTACATGATGTTCAGACACATTCAAGGAAAAGGCAAGGCTACCCACCTGGTCATACAAAGAATAAAAATTAGAGCCGTTGTCATATCGGTCCCTTTCGCCCATCAGTACCTATACCAACGTGAACTCTGGCGAGACGGCCTGCGGTTTCTTCATTTACTGATTTCAATTTCACATCGACACGCTTAGAATAAAGTTCAGATGGAGTTCAAGCATGAAGAAGAGCATCTGGTAATTACCATAGCGATACCCCACGATAGATCCAGTTGAAGACCTCCTTGTACTCTGGATATGTCTTGGGAAGAAGATGCGTTAGAATGCTTCTAACGGTGATTCCTTTAATAGTCCGTCGAATATTAGATACCGAAAGCAAATCAACAAGAACAGAAACACGAACATCTTTGTTCTTCCTCTCTATCATCGGCCCAAGCTCTGGTTCCACTTTCACGGTTTCCTCTTTGAAGTCTTTACTGGTACTGCAGCGACCTTGAGCTGCGACTTTGGCGGGACAAGGTCTCTGCCCTTAGCATGCAAGAGTAGCGGTGGCTTGCGAAGAGTGGGATCATCAGACCGCGGTAATGCGACTGGTGGCGGTGTGATCCGTGCAGTCAGTAGCTGCAATGCATTATCACCGATTGAATACGCGTAGATAACAATGTTCGTCACGTCGGTATCCACAGGCGCGACCTGAACACCTATCGAATGGGTTTGCTCCGGTCGGAGGCAGAAAATATTCTGAAGTAGACAATGGAAAGAACGGCCTGAGGGTGTATATCGATCACGATGCTTGGAGCTGCCTTGGTGTCGTAGTAGACGTCGGCGATGTTGATGACGGCGACGAAGCGTATAGTGATGCCACGGAGTGATTCCAAGGCCAAGGCGAGGGGATTTTACAGCAGGATCGTCTGCACGGTGAGCATAGCGGAGAAGGCGATGCCATCGAGGATTACGTGGGAGTCGGGAAGCGCCAGACTGCCTCTGCACACCAGTCTGTTCGACGCTCGAGTGGGCGAGCTCATCGTCGAGAATGATGTCGGAGCATTTCTGGGAGCGTGTGATCACGTCATCAGTACTCTATCGTTAAGTAGCGAGCGCTGTTATTGCTCAATGCTGGATCGTCATCATCGTCTGTGACACCCAGGCTGACCTCACATTTTTCTCATCTTCACACACTGATAGCCATCCACTGACGCTGAATATATCGATGAAAACTACTAGCTTAGATACCTGGCTTCATTCCTGGACGCTGACCTTGCAGCGGCGGGCCGCTGAGGCTGCCAAACATTCCTCTGGGCCAAATTCACCTGAAGATAGGCCGTCGAATGTCACGGATGTGTTGAGCTATATGGCTGCGGTCAAGACCACATTCCACAATAAGCCGGAGGTTTACGATCGCTTTTTTGAGATCATGAGGGATTTTAAAAGGCAGATGTGCGTCGGAGTATCATCAAAACATCATCTGATTCTGGCATTCTCATTCATCTGATTCTCAGCATCGATACTCCTGGCCTCATACAACGGGTATTACGACTATTCCATGGGAACCCTACGCTCATCGAAGGATTAGACCCGTTCCTCCCAGTTGGGTATCATCTAAACGTATCTGCCCTTGGTCCGGGTACCATCACTGTCACTACTCCGCAGGGTACGACGACAGAGAGTGCTTACAATTTTGGAACTGAGCTACCCCGCGGCATTATATACCCCCCTGACTTTCATTCGATACCATCACAGGCGGGCCACGTTCCAGTACAGTTAGATCCTGCGCCAGACATGAGTGTTCGTGGCCGGGACAGTGACCCTCTGTTAAAAGCATCCTCGAGATCCAAGCGCGAGCTGACGACACAGGGCTGGTCTCCGCGGCCAACGAAGAAGCGGAAGCAGCGGACTATACGGTCTATACCTGCTGATGATAACCAAGGGGACGAGGTGGGTGAGAATCTCCTCCGCCAGAGTTTACGCATCTATAGGGCAAGGGTAGGCTCTTTTAGACGTGCTTTTGGACAGATCAAGCTCAGGACCTGGGCATGGTGTGAATATCAGTATAAACAACGTAGTGAGCCAAGTCACCGAGGTGCTTTCCAAATCAAAAATACACGATCAACTACTCGGTTTATCAGTGGAGGAAGCACAGTGCACTTTGGACTCTTCAGGATGTATGTCGGAACTCGTATCTTTCGAACCTTTCATAAATAATCCAATATTGGCCAGCTTCTAGATGTATCAAGTCTACCAGTGATATCAAAGCGCGCGCTTCTCAAAACCTCGCTGAAGTTAACACGTATTCACGACTGTGTACCTCGGTGTCTCATGCTTAAAGGCTTCAAAAAGACTGGAGATTATCCATTTGCTCTGGGGCATTTTGGTGAGCTCTGGAGAGGAGAAGTCGAGGGAATGGAGGTGGCTGTCAACCAAGCAAGGGTATTCACAAGTGACAATAATATCAACAAAGTTCTGCGGGTAGGCTGTTATCGATCTATACACCACGACAATCAGCGTAACATTTCCTTTACAGCAAGTGAGG